TTATCCCATCTCTCTTTACCCTTGTCCCTTTCCACTGCCAGACGATTTGCCGCTGTCATAAGGTTATCTTCCAAACCGTAGGCTATCTGTCTTGTTCGGGYAGCTATGAGTTCCTCTCGGGACATCTCCTCCGCCCAGTCGACGGTTATCCAGCTGTCGACGTGAAACTCTATGGGGAGCGGACAATGCCGCCCAAACCACAAAGTGTATGGTGGGTATCCGGTGCTAGCCCGGACCGTGACGTTGTCCGCCCATATTGCGTATCGAAAATATCGTGGCCAATTATTGTCCTTACCTTTGCACCACTTGGATAGTGACACTATCAGAGTCTGATGTCCCCTTTCTACTGGAGAGTTCGATTGTGGGTGGTAAACAGTGGCTATCGAAACTCTCGCCCCAGCTCTCTTGAACACACTCTGAACCTCGTCAGCTAGGAATTCCGTCCCTCTGTCCATCACTATCTTGCTGACACAACCATACCTAGATAAGTACTCTAATACAAAGTTCTTCACTTCCTTTGTCGTCTTACTCCTGATAGGTCTACCGTCCGCGAACCCCGTGAATTCATCTCATATGTTCACGACATAGTTCATATTGCCTACCCCTTTTCAGCATCTTCACCAGATCGATGTGTACCTTCTCCCCTGGTCTGGTTGGATAGGATGGATGAAGTGACTCTTTGTATTTCACAAGAGCTCTCTTCTGGCACTCCTCGCAGGTCATACAGTGCCTCTCGACGTCCTTATACTGTCCTTCCCACCAGTACAACCTGCGTACCTTTTCGTAGGTTCCTTTGACTCCTCTATGTCCTCCGGCCACCCCGTCGTGAAGCTCCGCTACTATCGTCTGTCTCTCCTCAGAATCATAGACTACTCGTAAGGGCATCCCCGACCCTACTGGCCTTCGAAAAAGATACCCGCTCTAAGGCAGTACTGGGCTGCTCGTCTCCGGATATCTGAATCTTGACTCTCCTCTCCTGTCAGGTGTAGCCCGATCGTTCGGTACTTGCCCTCGTAAAGATTAACCAGATATCGTTCAGCGCGTCTCGGCTCTGCCAATGTCAGGGCTCCAGCTACCATCATGCGCTCGGCCTCAAGAGAGATCCGCGAAAGCCCATCTGCCACGACATTTTTAGTGCCAGATATCCTCTCGACTGCGTAATCATATAGCCGAATCTGTATCAACCATCGAGTGAGGGTCGGGTCCGTCAGACTAAAGTCCTTCTGGAGGACCGAGGCAACTACTGTGGGATCTACTCTCAAGATGAATCACCGTCCGTAGATATAATGTCTGAACGTGTCTAGACACCGCAGAACAGCTAACACTTCCTTTTTGAATTGACTGTAGTTTCGCTCTACCGTATTAAGTGTCCTACTCTCAAATCTTAATAGTCTTTCCTTTCCTTCAGCGTCTTTCTGAGACAGCAACGCTCCAACTGAACAAGGTCCAGCATCCGTGGATACTATGAAGGGTCTCTCGGTCTCATTGTCAAAGAATGGCACGCCCAGTACGCGTCCTCCCTCCTTAAATTCGTCTTTAAGCTCTTGCATAGCGAGTTCCTGCGAGGAATCCCAGTAAAATTTTTCAGTCTTTCGAAGGAGTAACCTCAATGGCTCAGCCTTCTCCGCATACCTCCGTATGAATATCCGCCAGTAACCGACCACTCCCAGAAACTGTTGGACCTCGGTTGGGCTATGTAACGGTGAAGGCCAGTTCAGGAGTTTGTCCAACTTCGCCGGATCTGCTCGGTGTCCTCTTGAGTCACAGATAAAGCCCAAGATCTTAATAGTCGAGACGGCTCATCGGCTCTTTGTTCCGCTGACCGTTAAATTTGCATCGTCCAGCTGCTCGAGTACCGCGCAAATATCTGTTAGGTGCTGCTCGACGAATCTTCTAACTCCTGGTACAACCTCTATCTCATTCTTGTTTACTGACCTTTTTATATGAAAGTCGTCAAGAAAAACTTCAAACTTATCAGGGATGAAGTCCTTGAGGACGGCTACCATGGCTCTCTGAAAAACGGCTACCCCATTAGTCCAACCCATAGGGACAACCATCATCTGTATCAGTCTAAATGGCGTGTGCATAGCCGTGAGGTACCTGTCCCTAGGATCAAGCGGTACCTCATCATAGCCTGGGAACAGATCACAGACCGAATAAATCGACCTGCCCGCGGCGCCTTCAGCCAGTAAATCGATGTGTGACACGGAGCCCACATCTCGTATCGTCACCGCGTTGACCTTCTGAAGGTCCTGGATCCATCGGATCTTGCTATTTGTTTTTCGTAGGAAGAACCATCGATTTGCATAAGCACTATCAGACGGCTCCGCAACATGGGAAACCATTTTTTCTTTCAGGAAAGCGATAACCTCTTCCTTCTCCTTCTGGGCGTATTTCCATCCTGCGTCATTCCAAGGAACATGTGGAATCGTGTGAATCCTTGCTGGCTTAGCGTATCGAGGGTCAACCCTACCGCGCTCCGCGTCGCTGAAAGCTATTGGCTTATCACATGTCTTCAAGATTTTTATCATACGTTCGCTCCTGTGGGGTCAATCTCCGATGTCCATCCCTGCTATCCTCTCTTCCGTTAGGCGTTGCGGCTCCTTTTTCTTTCTTTCTTTTATTTCTTTTCGATCTCTTCTTCCGATATCCCTTCCAGTGCAGATCGCTCGCGGCGCACCGCCGCTGGCTTAACTTTTTGAGTTACTCGCTTGTGTCGCTTGGGTAGCCCCCCATAGGCGGCCGTGCCCTTAAAAAAGACACAGATACCACCCCGCCAAATTCCTCATCTGTCTCCTTTGGGTACGAGTTGCCATCCACTATCAGCCGACTTCCTAAATCTTCCACCCCCACGATCCGACCTTCTTCCTCTGTGAGCAGTGGTCCATACTTTTTCTCGCGAAATCGCACCGCGCAGCCGGAGGTAGGTAACGACTTAATCTGATCACTGAGTCTTGCACCCACAGCGAGAGCCGCTCTGTTCCTCGGGTCCCGAGACTCCACTGTCTCAATCATTACCCGCGCCCCGTCTAGCTTCTTAATGGACAATGTCTGGCTCCCATCCGGTCGCTCTATCATCACCGCATGCACGTGGCTTAGCCACGTTCGTCCCAAGAGCAGATCGTAGCTGCAGTTCTTGACTGCAAAGACAGGCAGGGTCACTCTTACCCCTTGGACCTCTATGGCTGCCTTGTGACAAACCCCAGTGATCTGTTGCTTTCTCCCATCAGCCGTCTCTATCTCGAATAGGTATGACCTATCGAGGCCCAGTTCAACCTGCACAGCCAGATGCTCGTCTATAATGACAGCCTCACTGCCGTTATCGACCACAGCATCTAGTATCGCTCCGTCATTTATGATCGTCTCCAGGGCCCCACTACCAAGTATGTTAAACTTGTCTGGAGGCACACCTTCCATCCCATAAAGGAGGACTGTCGCCATGCGATCCGCTCTAGCAGTCATCCCCGTCACTGCTACAGTAGGAGCTTCCACCTTAGGGCCCCCCTGAGCCTCCTCTGATAGAGGTATGCAAGTCTTCCGCGTGATCATTTGTAACTCATCGTGAGCCGGCTTCGATGCCGCCTGATACTCCAGAATAGAGCACGGCATGGGCTGCCGAAGGGCCCGCCTCAGTGGCTCGACCGTGTCAATCTCGTCCAGCGAACTCTTCATCGAGAACTTTTTCACTACCCGCTTCCGCGGCGAAAGAATAACCTCCTCTCCATCGATCCGCTGTCCGTCCTTCTCCGCCATCACGTAATCCGTGTCGTTCTTCTTCGATGTAGACCCTCTTGCGGAATTGGTAGCTGCCACCCTTATGGGTGTGGTCGCTATATCTCCTTCGAAAGTTATCTTGATGCTCTGGCTCCTAACCGGCTCCTTTCCTTTACTCGGCTTTACTCTCCTTGCTTCGACATTCTCCTTCATCGAGGGGAACATCGATACATCTCCCAGATCATCTGCCCATTTGACGTACTTGCGGTCATCAAGCACGACAAGTCCTTCATCTATTGCCCGTTTGAGATCCGGACAATCTCTCTTGATATGATCATCCCCTCTACAGTAGACGCAAGAGTTCCTGGGAGTGGGTGGTCTGTCGTCTGCGCCTCTGGAGGTCTAACCCCTCGCTGCTCTAGGGTCAGAGGACTTCGGATACGGATCAGACGACGCGCCATATCCCCCTCTCCCATTTCTGCCGTGCGAAACATCGCGGTGGTCTTCATGTTCGTATCGCCCGCGTGAATCATTACGTCGGTCTCCTCGGTCGTATCGCCCGCGTGAATCATCACGTCAGTCTCCTCGGTCGTATCGCCCGAGTAAATCATCACGTTGGTCTCCTCGGTCGTATCGCCCGCGCGAATCGTCGGGTCGATCTTCTCTCTCGTATCTGCCGCCCCTGTATCCGTCTCGATCCGACCTCGCATATCTGTCGTCTCTATGTCCATCTCGACCCGATCTCTCATATCTGTCGCCCCTGTATCCATCCCACCGACCCTGATCCAACTCCCACCGGCCTCGAGAGTCGCCTCTACCCCTGTCAGGCTCATAGCGAGGGCTACGCGAGTAGTCATCCAGTCTCCTAGCGCGCCCATACGTCTCACGAGTCCTGCGGTCCCGATCTATCTCATTATCCCTGCGCCGCCATGGCTCATTGTCTCTCTCCCTTTTCCTCGCACGATAATCAGTCAACGTTCGGGGATTTCTATCCTCGACACTCCTCCAGGAATCAGTGTTCCTCCGGTCCCAGCGAAGTGAATATGGTCCTCCGGGCTTATTCCGATATGCCGTGACTCCGGTGGTGGTCACAATCTCTGTAACCTGTCTTGTCAATCCCCTTACCATGTCCCTTATCTCCTTCACTTCCTCGGCCACAACTTCATTCTTTTCCGACCAGGGATAGTCCTTGAAATCAAGATATCTATCAGTGACATACTCCTTGTAGAGAGAGAAGTCACGTCTCCTCATCCCTCTCCACACCAAGTCCTTGTAGTCGTCTGCCTCTGCCTTTATCGCGAGCTTTAGGACTTCTGGGAAGTCAAGCTTGTCCCGCGGAAGATTTCTAAGTATACTCTTTTGTCTACCTTTGGACAGGTGTCCGATGAAGATAGTACAGCGCTCGACCTCCGAGATCTTCCCCTTCTTCATCAGCACATCAGAGATCTTTTGGAAACGCATCCCGAATGCCCTTACGCTTTCATCCTCATCTTGAGTCATCGTCTCAAGGTCCTTGATGGAGTACTTGTTATCCTCCAATTTGTAAAGCTCTACGAGGTTCTTTTTGTACGTAGTCCATTTCTCATCCTTGGGTCGGGCTTCCTTAACTTCCTTGCCGAGGCTTGGGTCCACATTAAATATGAAGTTCTCTATAATCTCTTCCTCCGACCACTGACTCCGACTGGCGTGAAGTTCCCATTTCTCCAGATATTCTGTAATGTCATAGCCCCTGAAAATAGGAGGCTCTGAGGCCTTGTGCGTAATAATATAGCGATCCTTGCTCTCGTAAGGGAGTGGATGTGACTCTCCGGTCTGGGGGTCGAAGACTCGCCTGGGCGGCGCTCTATCCCTGTCTCTGTTCCTCCAACAGGAATCCCTCGAACTCTCTCTCCAGTCGTCCCTGTGCCTATCCGTCATGGTCTCCCTCCGCTCATACTCGGGGGATCGTCGTCTCATCGCTTCTCGCCGTCCGCTCGAGGTTCCTGTCTTCAGAGCGTTCTGCGGCTCTGTCACAACCGGCTCGCCCATTACGTCGGGCTCTCCGTCATTGGTTTGGTCAGCCCATCTCAGCGGCGCTTCCCGCCTAATTCGTTCCTTCAGATCCCTCAGAGCTCGGTCGGGCGATGTCCTGCACTCCTCCCCCGCTTCGCCCGTTGTCGGTTGTGGCCCCATCGTGTCGGGTTCCATAGGCCACCAGATGATGCAGTTGGGCTCTCACGCTGGGCGTTACAGCCCGGACCTATAATAGTTGTCGCAGCCCGGACCTGTGATAGAACCCGCAGCCCGTACCAGTTTCCTTGTCACGGTTCACGCTCGCCTCCAATCCTAGCTCTCGACTACCCTGATTACCACTTCCAGTACTCCGCACCGGTCGCGGATCTCGTGCTCTCCCTCAATCCCAAGAGTCCCTGTGCCTAGGTAAACCTCTCCTTCGGGATCGGCCAACAAGGCCACGCCTCTCCGGATCTGCAGTACACCCGTGACTGGATCTCTACCCTTGCGGCAGATCGCAGTCCCAAGCCTAGCCAATGTCTCCTCATCAGCACCCCTCAAGAGCCTCCGAGCGTCTAGCTCCGTCCTCCTTGCTAGGTCTCCTAGCCCGTCCTGAATCGGGTGCTAAAGGAGGAAGGTCCCCTCCTACTGCCATCCAAAGTTGCTTGTCGACCCTTCTAGCTTCCACTATCCTTCCAAGAGCTTCAAATCTCATCTCTCCTCCTTTAACTCCCAGACGGCTATGAGGCCATCTGTCTAGCACCTGAGGTAAGTCAGTGCTATAACCACTCGTAGCCTCATCGCCGACAGCTCCAATATGTCGTAGAATGTCTCAAAGTCCTCCTTATCTCCACTATCCTCTATGACCTCTAAAGTCTTTATCGATTTCTTCCAGTACCGATCGTGAGCGGCTAGCACCCTGAGTATGGCACCGTCTGTTACAACTCTCCCTAACTCTCCAACTTTCCTGGTTTCGCTTATCTTCAACCTCTCAGCCTCTCTAGTCGTCTTGTATCATGCCCTTATCCGAGACCGCCCTTCGAAAGGTGTCACTCGGAATACATATTTTATCCTCCGTCCTCCTTCTATTCCAATCCAAAGTTACGTTCCCCTAGCCTTACGCAGCGCACGACGGACACACTCTGCCTCCTCAACTATGCACAGTCTGGTATGGAGCTGAAGCTCTACGATCACTAACACCAACGGTCCGTCCAGTTTCCCTACCACATGCAATGAGTACTGCTCCGTCGTGTGCAGTCCCGCTCATGTCCTGTCACTACCTCCCTGCGTTACCTTGTCCTCCGTCAACTCGCCCTCTGCAGACCTCCCCCTAATTCCTTTGCGTGATACGCTTCTAGCTTTTACCCTCTCCAGAAAGTCTGATCTCCACACCTAGATAATCTCTCTCTCCTCCCTAAACAAACCCTCTAACTCTCTCGTCACGAGCTCAGCCCTACGCAACTTGTCCTCATCCTGACACGACCAGATCTCCCTTAACTTGTTCCACAACTTCTTTACCTGGTTCAAGAGCGGCTCTTTAATGCGCTCTCTCACTCTTTCGACTGCCTCACTCTCCTCTTCCATACTCAGTCTTCATTTTTTCCAAGCTCATCCTCTCACCCTTGCTCTAGCCTCCGCTACCGTCTCGTCGTGGAAGTGCTCCGCACGCATATAGCCATGTGACCATATCATCACCTCATAGGAAATCAAGGTCTGGAAGGTCACCCGCACCAGTACATCAGCTCTATGCTCGTGGATCAAATCTCTGGCTCGTGGCCGGCACTCCCTTGCCGTCAAGTCCTCATCTACATACACTCGGAGAAGTACTGTCACAGTGTACCCTGTGCTTACCAGTTGCTCTCCTACACGCATCACTGTGGCCGCCCTCCCCGACATTCCCTAAGCCGCGACCTCGAAGAGAAACCTCACATCCTCTAGCCCCACGTAATCGATCTCCGCTCGTCTCCTGCAGTACCTAATCAGATCGACTGGCCTCAGACAGTTCACACAGCTAGTAACGTCTATGATGTCGTCAAGCGTCTCTCTACTGGGTGGCCCCCACCTCACACAAATGGCGTAGTATACTTCTCGGAAACGGGGCGCTAAGCCCTCCCAGAGCGCGTAAAGTGTGTGGTCCACTGCTCTACTCAAACGTTTTAYACTCCCATAGGTCTGCCCTATCACGAAGGCAGGAAGTCCGAGTCGCCAATCCTCTCTTGGGTGGAAGGTCGGATGCGGAGGACCGTACACCAACCGGCTCCAACACGTCCTCCCTCCAGAGAGTCTCGCCAGTTGCTGATTAACGATCACTCTAGCCAACGACTCGCTTCTCCACCAAGCCTTGCTTGCCCCTGCAAGCGTCAGTCCTATCTCTGAATCGTGTGCTATATTCGCTATCAGATGTCCGACCCCTTCTAGGTCATGAGTCCTCTCGGGTCGTTCATCTCTCAGTATCACTGTCCAAAGGAAGAGTCCCTCTGCGATCCACGTTCCCAGGTATCGTATCGGAACACGCCCTGTCCCCTTTAACGCCACGGGAAGAGGAATGTCGTATCCAACTGTCGTCTCTCTGGGTCCCACAAGCTTCCTCACACTATACGATTCAGACTCTCGTGAGAGAACATAAGCTAACTAGGCTACTGAGTCACTCCTCATCTCCCCTCCGACTCTCGATCAGCATCACTCTACTCCCTCCGAGACACCCTATCTCTCGCTGTCGCTAACTCCTCAGACAACTCTCCCACTCAGGTCCAGTATGGTCAAGTAGGTGTTATGCGCTCTCTCGTCTGCTCCATGGAAGTAGATAGTAAACTCGACGTACCTCTGGCTTCTCCGTATCTCCAGGGCATGTTCCGTCATGAGCCTGATCTGTCGCTCAACAATCTCTAAGGCTTCTCCTTCCCAGCCACCCGTCCTATCTCGTCGCAGGGAAAGAGTCACCCTCAGTATATCCCGGTCTGCCATCCTTCCCACTGCTCCCTTCTCTAACCCTCACTCGGATATGTCCTGCCTCTAGTCGTCCCATGCATCTGACATATCCTCGTTTGTATCCTCATCTATCCTCTGCCCCCATGGGATGTCCTCCTGTCCCTCAGCCTGAAGGAGATGACCCCAACCGTCCTCCTGCGGCGCCTCTCCACCTACCTGCTCCTGTCGCTCAGCCCGCGCCAGATCTCCCCAGTCCTCGTCCTGGTCGCCCCAAGGGTCTATGTCATCGAAGTCCTCCCAACCCCGATCCTCGCGTACCACGCAAGACCGTCAGCCTCTGGATATACCTGCTGGTAATACTCCTCAACCTCCCCGGTCGAAATGAGATGGCCCGACCTCTCCTCACGAGTCTCGGCTAGCAGTTGTCCCACACCAGCTAAATGATCAGTTGGTCTCCGAACCTCTCTCGAGCGCCGTCCAGAAGGCTAGGGGCTGGTACAGAGAATACAGGTCTGGGCTCCCGGTAGGTACAATGGCCCGCAAGAACTCAATCAACTGGAGGCTCGCCTACAAGCGGCCCCGCTACAAACTGCGCATACAGCACCCAGTCCCTGTCAGCGTACCCTCGGCAAAGGCCGTCCAAGTCAAGAGCCGCAAAGTAGATCTCACCCAGACGTCTAAGTCCCCAAAGCTCCTCCGCCACGAAGCACGGAAATGTCACACGCAGTCGACTACTAGGATATGGGAAGTGTCCTCCAATCCTCAAGGTCGTCGTCACTCCCCGAACGCTCCCGTGCAGCCGCTCTACCTCGTCCCGCGCGGAGTCTGCTCGGGCCTGTAAAATCCTCTTCGTGCTCTACTCCTCTCGCCAATGATCGTGAACGATGCCGTGAAAATAGACTGTGGCTAGCAACTCCCGTGAGTAGTAAATATGGCCCACTACCTCTATGCTAGTCGTGCCTGGTCGTCGCCACCTCAGACTGTTTAGGTTAAACGTCTCGATGAGATACGTCCACAATTGTACGTCTGGGCCCAACACCGTCGATGACCATCGACTCTCTATCGCATCCGCGAAAACCCCTCTGGCCGGCGGATCCAGCGCCACCTTGCCTGGCGCTACTGTCTCTGGAGGTCTAGGCCATCTAGCGTCGTCGATCTGAAGCTCCACTCCACTGGCCTGCTCTATCATCGATCCGTTCTCGCCGATATCAGTAGCTAAGCTCACTCAACCGCCGCTCTAATGAGCTCCTCTGCCTCCTACGCCCGGACGGCTACTCCTATCCTGGGGAAGTGGGCGTCCGTAACGTCGATCTCCTCCTCGTCAACCTCACTCTCTGGGTCGACCCAGTCTGGCTTCCAAGCGTCCTCGTCGTCCTCTCGCTCCCAACCCTCGTCGTCAAACTCGTCCTCGACGCGATATGGGGCCTGTCCTATAGCCTGGTAGTACTCCGCCAATTGATGGCCGAATATCAGAGGTCACCTGGCGTCCTCACTCCACCAGCTCCCCCAGCCGTCTGAGAAGAGCCGCCCAATGCAAGTCACGTACTCAGGGTCTGCTTGGAGCTCACGGTCTAGCCAATCCCAAACGCACGGAGACTGGGGCTACTCGTCGTCTGTCGAACGGATCAACTCTATAAGTTGAACCCTCTCGTCACCCCAACGAAGTCCACCGGTCGCGAGCGAATAATAGATGTAGTCGAGGTCGACAGGCCTTCTCGCCACGATCTTGAGATCCTGATAGGCTAGGTATGTCTCGACCACTCCACCAATACCTCCAAAGACGCTCCCTACTACGAACGTGGGAACTATCGCCCGCAGACTCCTAACGCTGTACGGGAAAAACCCGTCCCGTGCTACCACCAGCTCGCCCATTATATCTAGAGGAGGGCGCCCATCAAATAGGGTCAACGGGTCGCTCGAGTCCTCCGCTCGGAAGGCAGCTACCTCTTCCCTCCCTGCTAACCACGCCACTAATCCCTGTCGTCGCGAGGCTCAGCACGGCATCCGTAACCGCGCCCGGTCCTAAGTACAAGTAGGCCCTCACTACGCCCACTCCTTGCCCAGGTTGCTGCTCTCTGTGCGTCCAAAGTCACACGTTCTCTGACAAGATTATGGACCTCCACGCAAACTGGCCGTCAACGTGTCGAACGCTGCGCCCGGGGATCGTGAGCTCCACCAGATCCCCTTCTATAAGTTTAGGAGACTCCAAGTCCCAGTCGATGGTGGCCTCATAGACTTCTACTTGCGCTCGCAGCCACATCCAACTGGCGACTAGTGTGAACGCAACAAGAGGGATGGGTAGAGAAAGTGAAAGATGAGAGAAGGTTTGTCGATTTTGAGGGAATTCCGGCAGC